TCCCGCGCTTGAGGTTGCCTTGGCCTCGAACCTGAACCAACTCTTGACATTCTGCGTGTCCATGAGTTGGTTCAAACTTTGACCCGTCCTCTTCGGCCGCCCTCCTGTGCCCGTTGCAAGACAGCGTCGCAATACAGCAGTCGACGCTCCTCAACCGCTGGAGATGGTTGCATTTGAGACGCGATTTCTTCCCCACCTCCAGCCCCCACGCTTAAGGATTCCTTGACCTCGAGCCCGAACCAACTCTGGACACTTTGAGTTGCCTGAGTTGGTTCGGGTTTGGGGCCATCCTCTTATATCCTCTTGGGCCGTCTTTTTGGGCCCTATCCAGAGATACTGTCACAATACAGCAGTCGTTGCTCGAGCGCCAGAGACTGTTGCATTTGAGACGCGACTTCTTCCTCACCTTCTGCCACAGCGCTTGAGGATTCCTTGACTTCGAGCCTTAACCAACTCCAGATATTCGGCGTGTCCCGAGGCGGTTCAGACTTTGACCCGTCATCTTGGGCCGCCCTCTTGCGCCCCATTGCCAGATAGCGCCGCAATACAGCAGTCGTCGCCCGACCACCAGAGGCGCTTTCATTCGAGACGCGCTTTCTTCCTCGCATCCTGCGCTGGCGCTTGAGGACGCCTTGCCCTCGAGCCTGAACCAACTCAGGACATTCTGCGTGTCCATGAGTTGGCTCAGGCTTCGGGCCGTCCTCTTCGGCCGCCCTGCTCGGCGCCACGTTGCGCCATTGTCCCGACCGCGGGCAGCCCGCGCCCGACGAGAGCCCCTGCTGGAACCGGCAGCGGGGGCCCACGCGCGGCGAGCGGGTGCTCTCGCCAAGCGGCTGCGGCAGGACGGAGCCGCCCTTGGCGGGGCGGGGCGACCCCAGAAAGGTGGGAGAACAGCTGCGGGCAACCAGCCCCTCCTCCTCCTCCTCCTGCTCCGCCTCCTCCTGCTCCGCCTCCTCCTCCTCCTCCTCCTCCTCCGCCTCCTCCTCCTCCCATCAGCTCACCCGCCGCAGTGCAAAAGTGGCAGGCATGCGAGCAGCAAAAAAGCGACGGCCCCGGAACACACCCCGCCGCCGCCGCCCGTGCTGGACTCTGCCACGTCCCTCTACAACTACCAGGCGTGGCTGGCACTGCGTTTCACGACGTACCGCCTGCCGTGGGAACCGGACTTTGGTTGAAGCTCCTGAGATCCTATGACCCGTTGTCAAAGCGGGGCCCTCGTTTGAGACTTCATCGAATCGTATGACCCGAGAATCGAAATCAGACAGCAGCCCCTCGGCTTGAGGACGGCCCCCTTTGAACATGGGGCTATCGTTTAAGGCTTCCCCAAAGTGTAGGACCAAAGCTTTGAACACGTGCAACACCTAGCTGCCCCGATAGGCAACACGCAACACGTAGCGTATTGGTACGGAGCCCAACACGAAGACTGAAAACGTAGGTTCGACGCGATATTTTCGCCAACACGTGGGCCAGTATGCTGAGCCAGCACGCAGCGTGTTCAAACGGACGTTGTGAACACGGACCGCGTCGCGTCTCTCAAGACGGGCGCAGACCTATACAGACGGAGGGCAGGTCCTTCTCAAAAACGGGGCCACGGTTGGATGAGAAAATACCGTCCTCGTTGGGCTTCTTTCAGCTCGAAGGGTGGAGCGTGGATCCTCTACAAAACGGGACGATATCGCCCCAGCGGCAAGCCCACGGGGCGCTCGTCATTCAATGTGGAGCGCTTCCCACGGTGGAAGGAAATACCTGTAGGTGTTGATGAGAAGGGGGCTTGGGACGGGAGGGTGTGTTGCGGCATCGTTGACGCAAGCTCTCCCACCTTGGAGGCAATTTTACCTCGAGTGCCGTCAACCTAGGTGTTGACTACACGGCTGGTCGAGTGCTCAGGGTCCAAGGCCGTTCGGTTAAGTCTAAAATGCGGATTGCGAAAGCCTCTCGTGCAGCCAATCGCCTCAAGAGGCAAAACAAGATTGTATCTCGGCCCCAGGTCCTGCGTGTGTTTTCGGCGGGCCCCCCTGGCGGGGGCCTCGTATGGCTCTGAAATCACGGGCGCTAGTGATTTGGAGCTGCTGCTCCTGCATAAGCAAGTGTTTTCGGTGGTCAGGCCTCGCTCTCAACTTCGCTCTTTGACCACTGCTGCCGTGCTTGATTTCGACCCGTGCTGGCGCACCGCCACCGCCCCCATAGTGAGATGGTCGAAGGAGATCTGGCTCAGCCAGTCTGGAGCTTACGAGTGGGGCATTTCGCTTCCCGCCCTGCGTCGAGCGTGGGAAACTGCTTTTCCCCCCGACCCTGCATGCTCCTGGGGGACTGTTGCGGGTCCTGTGTCCGCTCTCAGGATGTCCCTGGTTCGCCTGGGCTGGTGCATGGATAACTGCATGACGGTGCGAGATGACCGCGGCTTCACGATTCCCCTTGGTATCTTCTCGCCCGCTCTGATCAAGTGAGAAGAGGGGGGTCCTCCCTCGGCTGTGCTATGATGTGTTACGTGAGGCTCTGGCCTCCAAGAAATGCACAGCCCTCCAGAACGCCCGCATCAGAGCGTTTACCACGGAAGCCTTTTTTCACGGGAGACCGCGCCATCAGCTTAGGCTACCTGGTGGACGACATCTGCCCCTTCTGCGACGGCCTCGGCACGATTCTCCACAGGTTGTGGAAATGCGTGCACGAGCCAGTCGCCGAGCTTAGATCGAGCCCAGTGGACAGTAGCACGGTAGATGCTGCTCTGGCCGCTAAGGACAACAAAGAAGAGTTCGTTTTGATTTCAGGGGCGTTCCGCCACCCCGCCGACCGTTGCCCTAAGCCCCTCACCGAGTCGGACCATGGGCCCCTTCTTGTGTGGCGCCAGAAAGATTTAGTCTCCCCCTCGGGTCTTGAGCCTGGCACTGAGATCTGGGGTGATGTGCTTATCGACGGGTCTAGCAACAGACACGTCATTCGTGAGCGTTCTCGTGCCGCCAGCAATGCAGTTATGGTTGACAGTAAGGGTGACTCTGTGGCTGAATTCGAGGCCCCTGTTTGGGCCCCGCATCCTCAAACGCCCCAGTCAGCCGAATTCAGCTGCTGGACATGGGCCATTGTTCTAGCTTCATCTAAGACCTCGGTGCATTCTGATTGCAATAATGTTGTAAAGCTGGCCAGTCGGCCCAGAGAAGAGCAGCTGTCGGGTAAGAGGGCCTACTCAGGAGCGTTCGTGCAACTTTACGCACAGGGCATCAAGCCTGCACAGTGCTCCAAAGTAGCCGCTCACAAAGATGTGGACGAGAGCGGAATCGATGCTGCCGAGCGCTGGAAGCGCCTCGGCAACCGCCATGCAAATGCTGCGGTCAAGCACGCTGTCCGTCTGCACCCGTCTTGTCAAGATCAACTGGATGCTGCTGACAAGCTCGTCATTTTTGCACGCCAGACGATTCGTTTGGCGGCGCACGTGCTGCACCTTTGGCCTGCCTTGGATCTCTCCGAGGTTGAGCGTGTGCCAGCCGTGCCCTCTGCCGCCGAGGCGCCAGCAGGACACCGCTGGGAATCCTGGTCGGGCGTGTGGCGTTGTGCAGTGTGTCTACAAGGTCGGAGGAGAAGCCCCCTCCAGGAGCCTGCCCTCTAGACTCGCCGCTGCACGCATCGCGCCAGGACGCCCTCGAGCACCGCACCATCGCGTTCGATTGCTCCGATTGCTCAATTCTTTTTATCCGCACGCGTTGCAAGTCGTATTCCAGCGGAGCGTCGGTGCGAGGTCTCGGGGCCAAGTGTCAACCGCCGCTATCTCGAGCTACGGGATATCGCTGGAGTGCGCTGAGCAGATGGCGTCACCCGCATTACAGGCTGCGAGCAGCGGGTGCCACTGTGGACACTGACAATGTTTTTAGTGTTTCAACACGTACGCCTGATGCAGTTTCGGCCCACCCGCTATTCATCATGGCGGAAGGGCGCCTGTTCCTCGCTAATAGGACGTCGACGCGGGCGTGGAGCTCAAAAACAGATGCTCCTCCTCCTCCTCCTCCTGCTCCTCCTTCTCCTCCTCCTTCTCCTTTTCCCCTCCCTCCTCCCTCCTCCCTCCTCTTCCTCCTCCTCCTCCTCCTCATCCTCCTCCTCCTCCATCCTCCTCCTCCTCCTCCTCCTCCCTCATCCTCCATCCTCCTCCTCCTCCTCCTCCTCCTTCTCCTCCTCCTCCTCCTCCTCATCCTCCTCCTCCTCCACCTCCTCCATCCCTCTCTTCATCCCTCCTTCCTTCCACTCCTCCCCTCTGCCCCGAACCGCCGAGGCAGAGAAGAGGTGGGAACAGACCTGGCGTGCACAGCGCCTCGCTGTCGACGGAGGACGGGGACCGAGGAGGAGAAGGGGGACGGACTAGGACTAGGACTAGGACTGGGACTAGGACTGTGACTAGGACTAGGACTGGGACTAGGGACGACGGGGACTGGGACTAGGACTGAGGAGGAGGATGGAGACTGAGGAGGAGGACGCGGACGGACGGGGAGAATGAGAAGGACGGGCGCGGACCGGCGGCCTGCCTCCGAAGAGGCAGGCCCAGGGGACGCTGACGGAGGACGCTGACGGGAGGCCAGTCTGTAGGAGGACGGGGACTCAGAGAGGGGGGGGGGAACAATGAGAAGAAGCTGACGCCAGGGGTGTGCGCCCAGCGGCCTGGGGGGAGGGGGAGGAGGTTGGCAGGGGGGATAATTGAGAGGGAACGATCGGAGTGGACCGTGGACTGGCTTCGGGGGGAAACATCGAGTGCGAATCGGCGATGCATCGCCGATAATCGACGATAGGCCCCCGATATCCGCCCGTTCCTGGGCGGAGTGGGCTATCAGGCCCCTATCGGCGATCAGTGGGCGATCGGGGGTCGATGTGTCCCCCTCTGAGTCTGTCCCCCTCCCTCATACGTATTGCCCTGAACTGATGAGAAGAAGGGGTAGGGATAAATAAACGCGGGGAAGAGGGGATTGGGAAGCAGCCCCAGCGTGTCGCAGACATTTCCTGGGACGGCCGCGGCGGCTGCGCTACGCTTTCGCATCCTTCTTGGCAGCCTTGTCCGCCTTCTTCTGCTCCTTCTTCTCCTTTTTCTTCTCCTTCTTCTCCTTTTTCTTCTCCTTCTTCTGCATCTTCTTCAGCTTCTTCTTCTCCTTCTTCTTCTTTTTCTTGCCCGTGGAAGAGGACGAGGAGGAGCTCGACGAAGATGCAGCGCCCGCCGCCTTCCTCTTCAAGTATGCCTCGAGGGCAGCCTTGACAATCTTTGGGTCGTGCTCGGACGCAAGGGAGCCCTTAGCAACTGGTGCCTCGGGAGGCTGGGGGTCCGGGTCCGCGGCCTCCTCGACCAGCGAGTACTGCTTGCCGCTGGCCGCAAAGCACTCGCGGGCGCCATGACCCCTGGCGCCGCAGCGCGAGCAAGTGGTGGCCTAAGACGAAACTGGGACGAGGATAACATCGGGTGATGATAGGTCGAGGATCCCTGAGATCCCGCGGCTCTAGATGATATCTCGGGCGCCACGGCCTTCTCAGAGCGTTCTGGCTCTGAGAGCGTTCTGGAATGATCTGAAACGGATGTATGCTCGTCCTAGCCCCGTCCGAGGCCTGCACCGCACCGATGCGGATCGGATCCGGCTTGCCCTTGCCGCCGCCCTTGCCGAGCTCCACCTGGGTGTTATTCGGATCCTTGTCCTCGCCGTCCCGCTGGGAGACGTACCGCATGTCCAGGGAGTACTTGCCATCCTCTTCCTTGATCTCGACCACCTTGACCCAGACGGCGTCGTCCTTTGAGACGACGTCCTCCACGCTATCGACCCGCCCCGAGGCTGACAACCGCGAGATGTGGATCAGGCCGTCCTTGAACTTCGAGCCGTCGCCCAGCCTGCAGAACGCGCCGTACTGCTGCACGGAGACGATGGTGCCCTTGTGGATGGAGTACAGGCTCGGGATCTCCTGAGGGAGCGACTAGATACCGATGCCGGTGCTCCCCCAACCTCTCCCTGGGCGCGTTCTGACTAGGCCGTAGCGACGAGGATCCTCCAGAACCCAGGAGGCCCAAAAAGCGGAAAGAGGGAATCGTGTATCAAGGGCTCCTAACTTCGCGCTTCGCTCTGCGAGAAGCGAAAATAACTTTCCGCTCTCGCGCCGCCCCCTAGGGGAGAACAGGAGGATGAGGAGGAATCGGAGCCGAAGCGCGTAGCGCGAAGCGCGAATAGCTTCGCGCCCTCGAAGGCGCCCTTGCCCCCAAACCAGGAGACCCAAAGAGCGGAAAGATCGGCTACTCGCAAGAGTGACCCTGGGTAAGAGTGTTCTTTGGTGCGCGGCACTTTGGGGGCCGCGGGGGGGCCTGACACAAGCCCGCAAGACGCCACTGCCGCCTCGCATTCGGCGATCGAGGGACCCCAGTGGGCCCGCACCAAAAGTCACTCTGGCGAAAGATCACTCTTACGTGTAGTCGACCCACCCCCTCCGGCTCGCCGCTGAGACGGACGACGACGGACGACGGGCACGCTGCGCGGCGACGGAGCTCGGCGCAGCGGCCCTGGCGGCCCAGAGGGGCAACCGGGGTGGTGGGGCCCAGCCCACTCCTACGCGTAATCGAAGAGAGGGAGCCGTGTCGGCACAGGCAGCTTATTATCCCAAGGTCTCCCTCCCAGTCGTGCGAGGCCCTCTGCCCTTGCCGCCGTCCTTCCCGCCGCGGCCGCCTCCCCGGTCGCGGCTCCTGTGGAGGAGCAAATGATGGCAAGGAGCAAATACTAGCATAAACAAAACTTTTCGGAGTTCCGCGCGGACTTCTTGGATCGGCGCTGGACCCCCTCCCCTGGCGCGCGTGCTCCAGCGCCGATCCGAGAAATCCGCACGGACCTCCGAAGGCTTCGGTTTATGCCGTCGCTTGCTTC